TATAGCTTCACTCAGACAACCAGAAGCTCTCTTACTATTCACTGACGGCTCGGTCGATCAAACAAATGGCAAAGCAGGAGCAGCCTTTATTACCAACGGAACCAGTGTTGCACGTCGAGTCTCAAATGGAGCTTCCACTCTACAAACAGAATTATATGCCATCAAAATGGCACTAAAATATGCACTGTATCAAACACATTCAACCATCCACATATTCACAGACTCCCTCTCAGCCTTACAGGTTCTAAGGAGAACCCAAGCCACAGACAACTTAAGGCTTATCTCAACAGTCCTGTTCCATATACGACAACTAAAAGAACAGGAGAAAATCCTAACTTTCTGGTGGATACCAAGCCATGTCAATATCACAGGCAACGATTTAGCTGACACTGCTGCTAAAAACAGCCTCAAGAACCTCTTAGTCACAGGCCACATTCCTCCAAGCCTCAGCCAGCTGAAGAAGCACGTACGGAGAGCCGCTTACGAAACTCTCCTCATCGAGCACCGTGCATGGGTCATTGCAGGCTCACCATCCGCAAGCTGGTACAAGATAGTTACTGAATGCAATCCCCCCTTCCTTGTCAACAACCTCTCACGAAACACCGCTGCCATCTTTCACAGACTTCGCTTGGGTTACCGCTGCAATTGGGAGATTGACATGCGGGTTCCCAAGCCTTGTACATTGTGCGACACAATCACTCAAGAACCCCTGATACACTACGTACTAGACTGCCCAAGCATCCAACATCTCCGACCCAGGAAATTCCACAGCAACAACCGACAAGATGAAAGCCACTTTGCATCTACAGCTGCCAGATGCCTAGTGGAAATGCTCAGTCTCCCAGACTCACTATTAGTCTTCACCAGAGACCCTCCTCCTAGATGACATTATAATACTACTGCTACCAAAAAAAAAAAAAAAAAAAAAAAAAAAAAAAAAAAAAAATCATATATCTCATGTCTATCACGACAGATAGCCATCACCACCACTTCTCCAGTTACTCTTCCGGGTGGCATACGCGTAACCCGGGCTAGTCATGCCGCACTCCTCATTCTTGCATGGCTAGCGAATGTAACAACAACAACAACAACAACAGGAATAGCATAGATGCCCACCTTCGAGGTAGAGGGAAGGCAGGTGTGGATCAGGTTGCGACGGAGTGTCCACCTGGCGAAAGACGAGTCTGCAGTTGAGAGGGTGAAGAGGACGAAGGAGAGAGCAGATTTCTTCAGTGTAGGGCAGGCTGAGGATGGGCATATGAGGGGTCTTTAAGATAGGAGTCGTAACAAAAGGTACGCCGCGCCCTGGATAAAGCGACATCGAGAACATGGAGTGGGTGGTACGTGAAGTGTACGTACCATTGTGCATGGTCTATCTGTATATGCAAAAGAGGTCAGCATAGCGATTAAGCAGAGTATCCAAGAAGGGGAGTTTGCTGTTAACCTCCCATTCCACTTTGAAACGGATGAAAGGAGTGACAGAGGAGTCAGGGAACAGGGCAGGGTCATGCAGCCAGAGAGCGGAGACATCGTCCACATATATCAGCCTAACGGAAAGACGAAGGGAAATGAAAGGGACAATCTCCGTTTCCAAGAACTCCACAAGCAAGTTTGCCAGGTCTGGAGAGAGGGCAGCCCCTGGTAACATCGAACGTCTGAGAGTAGAAGCGGCTCTCCAAGTAAAAGGAATTAGACATAGCAAAGACGAGGATCCTCGGTGGGATACTCCCTCTCCTCTTCCCCTTCAGACCTGATGATGGAATCCAGGAGGATTCCAAAACTGTTATCTCACTCATTTAAATAAATCTAGTCTGTGCCAGAAAACTCCACAAAACTCCTGCAGCTTTCCCCGTCTTGGTCCTCCAGCGTCCCTTCAGACCTACAGATGCAATGGAAGCGACAGATTTATTATTACTACGTAGGGCCCTAACCTCCTGCCCGTTAATGGACAAGGTGGTAGGGCGTGATGTATATACAACTCTATGTGTATCCGCAAAATCATTTCTTGTCAACATCCGGCATGGTAAACCCCAGGTTTCCACCACCAAGAAAACAAATGAGGTCCCATGGCTGGGGAGTCGGGGACTGTGTTCCCTCCGCTGTCCTCTGGGCAGTTTCCCCCGACACCCCAGTGGGTCTCCGATACTCCTGGGTTATGAATTATTTTTACTTCCTTCCCGGGGGGCTGAATCTGTTGTATTTCCCTCTATGACCTTCCGCTCCCTTTCCGTAAAATAACTAAGGTCAGGGCAGTTAAAACCTCACCCTTGTACAAAATAGCAATAGAATAAAGCTTAGGGTCCTGTACGACTTTTTCAACAGGGCATAAGATAAGTTTAACAAAACTTTCTCCAATCCCTCGCCGCTGGCTATACCGCAAGCAGGAGCGCACTCAAGCACACACTTACTCAACACTCAGCTGTCAGCTGTCAGGCAAGGTCGGATAATTTCCGCTGTCTGCACCCACCCTAGCTCGACTCGTAAGTGGGGGACAGTGACGTCAGAAGTGGGTTCTATGACGTTATAAAGAAAAGTCATCACCCGAGGCTAACGCCGGTTGAAAACAAGGATTGGTACGTCTACTTCGTGCTGAACTATGCTGACCTAGCACTCCTCGCCTCTACCGCTTCGCTCTCCTACGCATACAATCTATACTAAAAGAACTTCACTTTACTTCACTTCAGTTCACTTTACATCAGTTCACTTCACTGTACTTTACGTTATCATAAGAATGAAAAAAATGCAATTATTTAATGGTTGAATGACCCATTAGAAAATGGTGCAAACCCATGTGGACAAGTAAAACGTAATATACGTATAATATATATATTAAAATGAAAAGTGTTACCTAAGAACTGAAATTAAATAATAAATGAATCAAGTACAACTGACACTGAACACGCTATTGATCTCCCTTGAGCAATATTACTTCTTTAAGAGAATACATTTAGTTAAAATATAAACCATGAAGTATAAGCACAAAAGTGATTATACTAATGCTAAGATAGAATCAAATATATATATATATATATATATATATATATATATATATATATATATATATATATATATATATATATATATATATATATATATATATATATATATATATATATATATATATATATATATATATATATATATATATATATATATATATATATATATATGTATATATATACATATATATATATATATCCTATATCTATCTATCTATCTATCTATCTATCTATCTATCTATCTATCTATCTATCTATCTATCTATCTATCTATCTATCTATCTATCTATCTATCTATCTATCTATCTATATATATATATATATATATATTATATATATATATATATATATACTACACACACACACACACACACACACACACACACACACACACACACACACACACACACACACACACACACACACACACATACACACACACATATATGTATATATACATATACAAATCAACTAGAAAAAAATATATAGGTATATGCATATATATCAAATATAGATATAACAATTATTACTAGTAGCCTGTACTTTTAAGCAATTTATGTACTACTACTGTTAAACTTAAGCGTAAAAAACAAAGGAAATATTGGGATACACTGTACATGGACTTCAGGAATCACAAACTGAAAACGCCACCTGAAACCATAGAAGATTAATGGCTATCCTCCGAGATTCATATTGTCTTTTGCATAACTCCCACCCTGTGAAGCACATATACTCAATTATTCACAAATAAGCATCCCAATGGTGGTAAATGACAGAGGGCAAGTCATGGAATCTAGATAAATCAGTTATATTAGATTTCTTTTATAATTAAGGTCGCCACCACCACCACGACCGTTTTCTTAGAAAGCAGGGAAAATCTCTCCTTTTGGTGAATTGATTTCAAATATATTAAAATCATAATTCCTGTAATGAAAGGATTAAGGAAACTAGATATAAAAATTTCTTGCATTTTATATATATTTTATATAAATTTACATGAAGTATCTTAACTTTATTATTGTAATTTCGATATATATTAGAACTTACCAAAATACCAAATACGTAAAGTCAAAAATATTCAGCACAAAAAATTACTAATTTGATAGGTGCGGGTGCACGCCCAGCATCACCTGGTCGCTCGTACTTTGTTCAGTCATCACCGCGGCAATGCACACGTGATTTTTCTTTTTATCTAACAAATGTGGAAGATTCCCAGACTTCCACACATATATGCGTATAAATACATGTACATATGTATTATATAAATATGTGTGTGTGTATGTGTGTGTAGTTATGTATATATATGTATATATATGCATATACATATGTATATATATATATATATATATATATATATATATATATATTATATATATATAATATATATGATATAGAGGAGAAGAGAGAGAGAGAGAGAGAGAGAGAGAGAGAGAGAAGGAGAGAGAAAGAGAGAGAGAGAGAGAGAGAGAAGGGAGGGGGAGAGAGAGAGTTGAAAATCACTGAATAATAAATGTGCAAAGGTAACCTTGAAATTAAGTATTAAAAAAAAAAAAAATAATGCAGATATCACTTTTCATTTTACGTTTGCCTGTGAAAGTTTTGGGAAAATCATATTATTTCACTTCCGTTTTCCAATTCTTGACAATATCATGAATCAGTGCATTGTCCTCAGGGTTTCGATACAAATCATATTGCCAGATTCAACACACCGAGGGCGGGTATTTCACGCGCCCGCCAACAGAGGACATCAGCTACCAGGTGTTACACTTATTATTATCATTTTATTATTATCATAATTATCATTAAGTAAGTAACAAAAACAGAAATAACAACAATAATGATAATCATTATTCTTATAATAATTTGTTATTATCATGGTTACTATCTTTATTATTTTTGATATTCTTATTGTTATCTGTTTTATTGTTATCATTATCAATATTATTGTTGTTATTTTTATTGTTACTTATACTATTATAATTAAAATTATTATCCTTTTGTCATGATTATGATTATTACTATGTAATCATTATTATTATTATTATTATTCATCATCATCATTGTTACTAATCTTATTATTTTTATTATCATAACTATCATTATTATTTGTAACATTGTTATCATTATCATTATTACTATTTTTTATTAGTATCATCATTATCATTATCATTATATTTTCATCATTATTGGTCTTATATTATTATAATTATTGTTATTTTTATCATCATAATTATGATTACTACTATTATCATCATCCGCATCCTTATTTTCACCTGTATGATTATTATTACTAAAGATATGATTCGTATTATTATCATCCTTATTTTGGAAAGACCTGTGCAAGACATTTGATTTCCTGACTCACATCCTCGAACACTAATGACCCAGCGCTTGCTTTGTTTAGTCTTAGCTGCTTGATTGCCCATTCTTTCGTTCCCAGCGGCGTCTGATGAGCTAGCCTTTGATAGCATCATCATAAATTGGACGTTGTATATCTTGCTTATCTTGGCATATATATCAAAGGTATCTCCATATCAAGCACTCACGCAGACATCAAACAACATGCAACTTAGTTTGATAAACATTTGGATTATTGGAAATATTTGGGAGTTTTAAGCTGTGAGTAGTAAGCTAATGTTATTTTTTTTATACTGATTGAATCGATTTTGTCAATCAGTTTCACGTTCCTGTTTATATAACGATCTGTATTTTTTTTTTTTTTTTGGCATCTGTGCGAGCTAGGGATAATTGCACCTAATTGGTATTGCCATTTGACTCGTGAACTTTGACATAATTGCCTTTAATTTATCGGTCCGTTTTATGCGATGTTTTGACAGCATGTGATTCCTTGCTTCTGGACAGGAATTGCATTTTGCGAGAGAATCTA